TTGTTGGGGAAAAAAACCCATCATATAGATCATGGTGAGCGGGCCAGCTCTCCTTGTCTCCTATGTAAACCAACAGTCCTCATGTTAATGAAACAACCAGCCTGCTTGCTTGCTCTCTCTGTTCAAGGGTGTCCTGATTTCTGAGAAGGCACATTCATCAATTCAGAGTTTCGAGAAAGTAAGTGATCAAAGACATCCAGAAGTCACACCTAGCGACCTGGGACATCATTCAGTTTTGGAGCTCGATCTTTTGCTTTCTCTCCTTCTTATTCTCATTCCCTGACCCCCACACCTCACCTTTTTTAATTGGGTAAATTTCTCTGCGTAATCTCAGAACTCAAACATATTTTATAGCTCTTCCTGGATATTGTACCTATAGACCTCACCTTTCTTGGAAAGAGGATCTATTAAATACAAATGCACAATACAGCAAGGCCCCTCTTCCATAGTTTCTGAAACTTCAGAACACACAGATTCCGTTCATAAGATGTGAAACCAACTTATTGTTCTCACTTCAACTTGTAGGGTTGAACTAGCTCCAAATCTCTCTCATTTTGGTTATTCAGCCCTTTCTTATTCTTCTTATACCTTATTTCAATTCCATTGGTACCCAGAAATAGAGCCAGTCAAGGAAAAGGGTTAATTTGTTCTATGCTGGGCACAGTACTGTTGAAGTAAACACACACGTTCATTCATTCTTTCTCATTCACCAGGAATAGTTTAATGCGGAAACAAAGTACGGTAAGTATGAATAGTATTATTTTTCTTTTTCTAACATCCATTTCCATAAAATGGATGTTAACACATTTTCTCTGGTAAACACTCCAAGGCATATTTTTCAACTTTTAAAGATAAGAATTAGGAAGGTACACATAGTATTTCAAATCTTGTAACAATTAATGCTACAGATAGGAGTACTGTGTTTAACTTCTTAGCATCTCTGTGCTCTTCCTGCTTCAAATCTTTTATCTTCATTATCACCATCATCTAAGATGATAAAAACTTTGAGGAGTGGCCCCCTCTGGCGTTTGAATCAGTATGAGATCTTATTTAGAGAATGCTATATTCTGCCTTCTCTCAAGGAACCTTCGGAAGGTAAAAATTACCTTGATGTTCCTGTTTATCTTCCATTTCTGATCTACGGATCCATGCAAAACTGGGGCTGGGGGGAGCGGGAAGCAGGTGTCTCTGGTATGGGAGACGAAGTGAGAGGGATAGATTGCAAGAAATGTGGAAACTGCTCTATGCATGTAATTCCCTTTTGTTTCTAGTGTGTGAGTTCAAGAGAGCTCAGGAGGGAATCTCATTGCTTTTTTCAAATGCCCACACACAGCATATAAGGCCCAAACCTGGTTTCCACACCTCGTAATCCAACCCTAATGGTCATACCCACAGGAAAGCAAGCTCTGGTATCTGAGAATTACAGACCACAGTGGACCAATGGACCAGCTCCCCAGGAAACACCGGTCAGGAGAATGTCAGCGCAGCCCCGGCCAAAGTCACCCTTCAATACAAGCTCAGAACAACATAAAGAAGCACACGCTCAGGGCAGTATGTCTCCAGGGAGCGATTTCAGATTCCACATAGGAGTAACTGGTGGCCTTGGATAAATCACTCCTCTCATTTATGTGCTGAATGGGAGAAAACAAGTCAACAACTGATGCATGCAAAAGCATTTGGAGGTGATGGATGGAGACATTACGGTGCATTTCGTCAATGGCATGCCATTAGAGAAAACCATTTCATAGAGTAAATTAAGAAAAACAAACCAGCTACGTGACACACTTGAAATTGCCACTGGCCAGACCGGTTTTCCTCCTGCAGGAATGAAGCTGCTTGGACTGACATTATCGTGATCACTCTGGCTCCCTTCCCCAGGTCAGCTGCCTGTGCTTGTCTGAGACGTACACCCCTAGCCTGCACTTCCCCGAGACGATGGCCACTCACATAACCGGGGAAACCTGTGTATCGCAGATCCTGGCTTTCTCTGAGCAGTATCTTGACTGTTATTTGTGTTATCGCTATTTAACTTCATGAGTCAATATGGTGTTTTCCTCACCAAGTCACACAAACCTTTACTGGCAAAATCTGGGTCTTAAAATGAAAATGAAGCTTACCAGTACGGCACTGGGCTTATAGTGTTCAGTAAATATTTGTTGATTTTACCTGCGATTAATTTCTCCTATCTTTCTCACATACCTGACTATTGTTTGCCAAACACTGAAACACTGATTAATTCATTAAAAAAAAACATTGCTTCAGACTCAGGTTCTGGGAATACAGAGACAGAAGACTTGGTTCTGACCTCAGAGACCTCAGGCACACAAGTAAGAATCAGAACCTCGCGGCAGGTAGAAATATGGGTGGGGAGGGTATTGCTGCTCTGGGTACTTGCAGGGAGAATTCAGGGAAGGCTTTAGGAAAGAGTAGTCCCTTTGAGATTAAGTATTAGCTAAGCATTAGAGCTGGCGTGTGACAGGGCATGTTAGTGAGCCCAAGCATGGAGCACTGGGTTCCAAGTCATTTGCTATTGCAGGTGCTTCTACTGCAAAGCTCAACCTACTCCCAAGGTCATCCCCTAAGGTCAGGGTAGAAATGGGCTATGAAATCACAGGCCCTTTCCCTGGGTACGCGGGCTCTGAGAGCATTCAGATGCACCTCATGGTAACTGCGGCTTCATAAAGATCAGAGCTGATTGATGGGAGCAGGCTCTCTGCCTTGGTGAGTTTAGTCTACCCATGCTTTTAGTACCACTGTGGCTGTGCTTCCTAATGGAAATGCATTTCTCACTCTCACCATTACCTAGATATAGATGCTCTCGGCTATAAAAGGCCATTTACCTCAAGATCTTTGTCTTGTAAGGCATCCCTAATTCAGGAAGGAAACGAGAAGGAGTTGAGAAGAACCCACCACAAATATTTTGTCGGGGAGTTCACAGAGACAGAGAGACAGAGAGAGAGAGAGAGAGAGAGAGAGACTTAAAGACCTCAATTTATGTTTGGCTTCAGCTTGCAGCTCCATTACCCCGACTCAGAGCCCCATTCAAGGAATTCACTTTCTCTTGTGAAGGGCTTTAACACAGAAAGCAAATAAGATAAACATTTCTTTTTGCTGTTTTTTTTTTCCATTTAAGAAATTGTGATTGACAGTATAATAAAATCTCTTATTTATTTAATAGCTCATTGGGCCCAGGACCATATTCAAATGATCATATCAACTCTGATAAATCCACTGTGAGCTGGGAATTACTCTCCAGCTGGGAATACAGGTGTGGAGTCAGAGGCAGGGAGGAGGAAAGCACCACGTCCAAGGTCCCCAGATGGCAGAACTGGGATCTGAAAACAGGATGCCTGACTCCAGCGCTGGGGGCTTTTACGGCACCCGGTGCCTTCCAGACCACATGTATGTTAAAACACATGACAAAGAGCTGTCGAAGTGCAGAGGCGGACACAGTGGAAACTGTGCACCCACCACTTTGGGGAAGAGGAGCTGGGTGCCCGTCAGGGTTGCTGTAGATGGACTGGTTGAAGGGAAAGTAAGCGAAACCTCATGGGAGCACTCAGAGGTCAGATTCTGAGGTTTCTTTCAAATAATTTGGCTTAATAAGAATAATAAGCCACAGATGAGTGGCTCGTTCTCTGCTGTAAAATCACATTATGTCTGGCCAAACTGATCTCTCCATCTAATTACTCCTGAATGACAAGCTGCAAAAGCGTTTCATGCTCAAAATGGCCACTGTGGGGCTGTCTCTTCAATTTGCTGTGTGACTGTGGTGGCGACACCGACCCTCTCTGAACTTCTTATAAGCTGCAGAGGCTGACTTCATTCAGGCACCAGGAAATAGGGAAGCTTCTCAGAGAGGCTTTTTAATCCGTGTGGTTTCTCTTCCATGGAAAGGCAGGGTGGGAGAGGAGAGGTGGAAGAGGTATCCTCAAAAGGAAGAGAAAGTTGTTCTAAACTTCTGGAAGAGCCATGCTAGAGGGTAGGCACACATGCAATAATCCTGCTACTTCATTAAGAAGAGCCCTAGTCAGGGGGCTCAGTTGGTTGGAGTGTCATCCTGTACACCTCAAGATTGTGAGTTCGATCCCTTTCAGAGCACTTGGCTAGGATGCGGGATCGATCCTTGCCTGAGGCATGCACGGGAGGTAACTGATTGATGTTTCTCTCTCACATTGATGTTTCTTTCTCTTTTCCTTCCTCTCTCTCTCTAGTGGGTGAGGATGAATAAAAAGAAGCAGGGGCAAAAACGTTTCTCATTAAGAGGTCCACCTGCAGGAATGGGCCTGAAGCCTTCTGGGTAAACCACCCACTAAGACTCAGAAGCAAAGGCGGTCCAGTCCTGAACCCTCAGTGCTGGGGCCTCCTGCCTCGTTCTAAACAGCATTCTCAAATGCCTCAGCTCACAGCCCAACGGCACACTGTGACTTACTTCACTTTGGTTTAATAATTAAACAAAAAGTACCCAGCACTTCGAGGAAAGGGAGACTAGGGCAGGAAAAGATAGCAGGGAACCAAACTAATACCCGGACATGAACTCTGTCAAAGCAGCATTTCCTAGCTGGTTGAGGGTTGGGGGAGGGGGACATTAATCTGGGCACAGCACGTGTTTTATCTGCAACTGACAAATCCCCAATCCTCCAAGCTTCTGTTTCTCCTTACTTAAGACCTGGGTCACAGTGTTTATTTACTTAAGTGATGGAGATGAAGGCAGGCTTAACACTGGTCACCAGTCGGAATAACAGTAAGGGGCCTCTTAAGGGCATTGCAGCGATCCCCAGAACCCAACATAACACAAAAGTATTGGGGGAAAAGTGTAGGAAAAACAACTCAGGGACTGAGCTTGCAGGAGACGGTGAGATGGAAGGTGAAGACTCTAAGGGGAGAGAGATGCCCAGGTGCCATTTAAAGCACAGGACAGCAGACAGGCCCCTTTCCATTCGGAGATTAGAAGAGATTTTGCAATATGGTAACCAAACTGAAAAGTTGGGCTCTCTTACCTGCCTCTTGCAAATGCCCTGGAGGTTCTTCCTACTTTTTTTTGAAGAGAGGTTGGTCACAGTTTCCCAGGAAGGCAAACACATTTTCTCAGAAATAATTCCACCTGTGTGCTCTAGAGGGGGAGGAGTCAACAGACAGATCCTGGCTGGAGAAGCTCGAGGTAGCACGGTGGACCTCGATCAACAAATACACACGCACCACCTACTGGATGTTAGGCAGTGATCTACAAATTAACGCATACAACAACTGACAACAACTTCGTTATCACCCGCATTTTACAGACACTGTATGCACCAGGCCAAAGGCAGCCAGTGCTAAAGGGAGACGCAGCCAGGACTGGCAGGCATGCAGGCTGTGGGCTTCCTGCTCTCACCCACTCATCTGTGCAGCCAGCAGAGAGGAGGTGGTCCAGGGTGACACTGTCACAAAACTACATTGCCAGGAGCTGCAGCCACTCCTACCCGAGGGATAGGAAATGTCCCACCTCAGTTTTATTAACAGCTCTGATTTCTGCTCCTGAGACAGGGTGATGAAAAGGGAATGAGTTAGGGAGCCAGAGAGACTTGGTTTTGAAACTTCCATTTTCCTAGGGATGTTATTCAACTTTTGGAGCCTCAGTTTCCCATCTAGAAAGGGAGGCTTTATCCCAGGGTTTTGTGAGGATTAGAAACAAAATAGGAGACCGTTTAGCAGAGTGTCTGGTCATGGAACAATAGAAAGTGCCTGATCTATAAAAGCTCTTTCAAATGTTTCATTACAAGACTCAGTGGCGAGAGCATCGGGCCTTGGGACAGTCATTCCTGCCCCTCTGGAGGCAGTTCATGCCTATGAAGTGGGAATGTAGATTGGCTGAAGTATATGGACAGTATACTCTGTCCATGCGCCAGTCTACCCTGTAGATTCTGCAGACGGGGCTACTTCCTGCCCCGGCACAATGAAAAGCAATTCTAGTAGGTGCTAAGCTTAATTAGTTTGTGTCCAGACGTGCTTTCAAGGGCTGTGCACATGCACTTGTCATCATGATCTGCCACCTGTTTCTGGAAAGCCTACATTCCCAGAAGTCTCAGCCTAGCTTCTCGGTACAGTCACTGGATGAAATTTCCGTTCAGTCTACCTCTCACTTCAGCTTCCTAGGCATGGGCCTGAAGTCAGCACCCTCTTCTGCTGATAGAGCAGGTGAGAGGAGGGTTAACTGCTCACAGTATGTCCTAGCTACTCACTACGGTCATGGGCCACCTGTGCTTGGGCAGCTGGGGCATCTGCTCTGCAAGCTCAGACAAAGTGTCCACACGGGCTCTGGGTGGCACCCGAGACAACTATGACGGCCTGAAACAGTTATGTGTGACTCTGAGAGGGAATTCTGGCCTAGGACATTCTTTCCATTCTGCTGGTACTGAAATCAAGAATTGTTTACTGGAATTACCCCAAAGAATCTCTACTGGGTAGGAAGAAAGGAAGATGTAGATGAATACAGCCCAATGGGCACTGAAATGTGGACTTTTGGGATAAACTGCAGATTCATGATCACGTTGCTTTTCTTCAGTGGTTCTTCCCAGAGAAAAGAAAAAAGACACAACCCAGTTTCCCTGCCCCACTGCCTGCCACCTCCTGGCTGCCACCGCATTTCAGTGGCATCCATCATTCAAAAAATAGTGAGGGGGGAAAGCTGCTCCTGTGGACAAAGGAGAATGGGTAGTGGTTGCTCTATTTCCCAATGTTCGCTTCCTCACCACCACACACGTGCACAATAGCACCCCTGGCCCCCCACTGCACGGGCACCGTTCCCACAGAAATGACACTGGCCAGAGAGAAATCTTCCCCCTCAGAAATCTACCGCAAGATAGATGACGGTGTGATGGAAGGCAAGAGTACACTGAGTGCCTTATCGATCTACCTGCCAGCCCATGAATGGTGGGTAATAAAAATTTATTGAAAATTTGAAAAAAAAAAGTCACTTATTTTAATTCTTCTGAAAGGGAGTACTGATGTTGCATGTGAATAAATCCTCCCCTCCCCCCGGGGCTCAGTCACTATTCTTCCACCAGCCAATCCTCCAAACCGCACGGATTTAAAAATCTTGCAATTTTTATTTGCATATAAAGGCCGCTAGATATAGAATATCACAATAAATTTAAAGAAACAACTGCTTTCCTAAATTTCATTAACAAGGTAACATAAAATAGAATAAAGCTCAACAGCATTTACAATGGGAAAACAGAAATGACTATTAGCGACAATATTTTGTGCTAGCGAAGATTGCATCGACACACAGTGCAAAATGGGGGGAGGGAGAGGAAGGAAGAAGACAATTCAGGGCATTTAAATATAAAGGACAACTAAGCCTTATTTTAGTTAGCTTCCATTGCATCCATTAAAGTCTACGCACGCCTGTAACTGTACCTAGATTTAACTCAAGCTCTTTAAGACCTTGAGTTCTGAGAAAATGTGTGAGCTCCTTTCAAACTCTGGATGCCCAGCTATACAGCATCCATTTGCCACTCTACTGTCCTTGGCAATATTAAACTCCTAACTTAGTCATAATACACAAAAAAATACTTATATATATAAACCCATATTAAAAAGGAGTCTGCACACTCATTTTTTTTTTTACTGCACGGAACACGTGCTCTTGACAGATTCCATTTCCATATTTTTAAAGCTAAAATAATTTAAAAGAAACAAACAAACAATGAGACCTTGTATAACCACAGTGTGGATCTCATGAACTGAGCCATCCTTCCTTTGAACGAGAGCGTTTTCTTCCCTTGACACAACTTTCTCTACAGCGACAGTGTGAAGGGAAGTCTTTTGCCACGCCGCCTTTTGTTTGAAAAGATTACTATAAATCCGGGCCACCGCTGCAAGAAAGAGAAGCACTACCAAGACAACAACAACAACGAAACATCAAAAAATAAAACAGTTCAAACAATACTCTTAAACAGTTGTGCAAATCTGGTTGGTTTTTAAAACACTTGCCGACCTGTTTCTTTTTTTATTTTTTTCTTCCAGCTTAAAGCATATTAAAATAAGACTCTTATCACCTTTTAAAAAGAAAGCTTGGCTGTCCTTTGGTGAACACTAACAATTTACAATGGCGTGGCCTTTGAGAAAACAGAAGTCATTTTACAAATTCACAATGCTCCTCTGATTTCAGATGGATACCCCATTTAAAAAACAATAATAATAATAAAGAAGAAGCACAACCTCTAGCATCATTTTTTTTTTGTTCCAACAATTTACAAAAAGAACTCAGAGGATTTGGAAATAAACCAGTAAGAGAATGTAAATTTATAATTAGAAAAAATGGCAGTTTATAGACCTTCCCTCACATTCCAATGGGGCATTCGGAGCTTCAGGAACCCTGTGGGTTTGGAAGGTCAAATATAATTGGAGGGTTGGTCGGTTGAAAGCTGACTGTACACGTTGAGGCATTGATGTATGTTGTGTAACCGTCGGTCATAATGCCGTAACCTGTGGGGAGAGAGTGTCACGCTTACTGTAATATACACAAATAGCAGAGACTCGATGCAGGGCCATCGGGCAAGGGAAACAAACAAACAAACAAAAAAGTCTTTGCCAGTGGGTAGTGAGATGGAATTCAGGGGAGCCTCTCCGGACATAACGGCTTTCAGAAACAGCCTGGTTTTATTCTATTTTCTTTAAAGGGAGAATCCTCGACTTCAAAGAAAAGTGCTTCCTTTTTCTTTATTTAAATACTAGATCTGTCAGAGGAAGGCTGTAAAGTGTCTCGGCTAGTTAGAATATAAAATAATCCGTCCCCCTCTTTTTTGAATACGATTTTCATTTCAAAGCCCTGCGTTAACTATTGCGTTCTCGGAGACAGAATGAGGAACATCAACTCAGGGCCACACATCCAAACCCCAGACAGTCAGTCTTTGGATGAATGAAGAAGGAAGGAGTGCCGCCTTGGAGGCTGGGACAGGAGGATGCTCAGCCCCTTATCTTTGAAATAACATCTAAACTGCCTCAATGAGCGTTAACAATAACTAATCTTATCTTACTTGAACTGTGTGGCTTTGATGCTAAATCCCATTTCACTCAAAAGAATCCAGTGATCTTTTGTCCAAGTGATTTGGAGAAACGTCACCCTTAGACCATGCTTTTCTAAGCTTACCTGGACGCTGGATCCAGCGTAAACACTCCCCATAGGCAGTATAAAATCTCGTGACTTACTGGAAGAAAGCTAAGAAAGTTTCTCTGGGTCTTTGGCATATACACTCCTTTTATGATTTTTAATACTTTGAAATTTGCAGCACAGTTGCAAATTTGCACACTTCCTTTATAGCTTCTGCAATTAAGTTTGCAATTCTATGTTGGTATCAGGCTCTATGGCACAGAAAAATATGCCCGTGGAAAAAAATAAAATGTCCAGGATTTATAGAAATACCTGATAAGGTCCCCCGCCTCACTTCCAAATTGCTAACATTTCTCCAAGTAAGCCTGTGGAGAGCTTAATGAGGGTGAATGGAAAAATCTCTTAAGAAAAGAAAGGAGGCATTTAAAATGTGCTCTGTTTAGTTCTGGGGTCATAAAGTCTTGTTATCTTTCTCCATCAGGAGGCTGGCGTTTGCCCTCCCTCTGCCCCCTTCAGCTGTCTTAAGCGAATAAAATCAAGACGAGTTTATTTGAATATGATCCCCTCCCTTTTAAGCAAGTTTATTATTTTGGGACTTCAGTGGAATTCCCCAATTGTCTGGCTAGTTTAAACCTAATTAATGATTTTTTTTTTTTTAAAAGAAGAAACGCAAACCCATAGGCCTGCTGCAGGACTCCAAACCTGACAGTTGTCCTTAGAAATGCTGCTTAGACCCGAGCTCCTACTCCCCCCACCTCAATCATGCACAACACCTTAGAGAAGTACCCTCCTCTTCATTCAGGGCAGGAAGACATCCACTCTTGGGGAGCTGCACCCCCACTTTTCATCCACTTAGCTGGTGCCTGCACTCAGAGCTCACTTTCTCTGGCCTTGGTAGGATGATTTTCAATATGCTCTTTATTACCTGCCTAAAGCAGGAAGCCACTGGATTTGTGGGCTTTGAAAAGCAAACTTGTTTTCTGGCTTCATCAGGTACATAGACCTAAACCCCTCAAATGCGGATTCATAAATAACTTCAGAGAACAGCTATAAGCAGGAGATGGAGAGAACAGGGCAGCTAGCTGCCTACGTACACATGGATGCATACCCACTGCACAAATGGATGCAACTGGGAGAAGCCGGAGTGCCAGAAAATTGAGGCCAGCCAAGAGAGCACTCTGCGTCTGCCCAAAGGCCCAGTTCCCCCTGGTTTGCAAAAGGGAGGACGTACAAAACCTAGAACCCCGAAGCTTCCTGGGAGACTTTCGGGTTCTGTGAACTTGACTCCAGCTTGCTGTGAAAGGCAGACAATGGCAACTAGACCAGTTCCCATTTAGGGGAGATTTAATTATTCTGTTTAACCTCAGCCGGAGCTAGCAGTGCTGATGATTTCTCAGAAATCTGAAACGGCTCTCTGAGGTCAGTAAGAAAGATCTATGTGCAAATGGACAGGTTCCTGCTACTTCTACTATATAGTCTTGACTGCATGTCCCAAGTTATTTTTTGAAGAATGTCTTGTCTTCCTGGGTCTCTGTGTGCATTCTATATGTGACACAGTATTTAGAGGTAGGAGGAGATCATAGAACTTACTTAGTTGAATACCCAGGCCATTTCTTCTAAACACTCTTGAAGAGAAAATTGGTTCTTTATCACTTCCCAGCTGCGCTCCAGCAGTGGTTATCAAACATTCCTCATCAGGTCCCTGAAATTCCAGAAGCTGCCTGGGGCAGTGCTGGGCTTTCTATAAAGTGGGCCAGACCTGGTTCTGACTCTCTACTCTATTTCAGATAGAGCAGCTCCATATAACATAGCCATCAGCATGACGCACAGGTGTCTCTCCTTACAGTTTACCTGATAAAAGGGTTCCCCGGGTAGGAAGAGACTGAAAAGTACTCCAGCTACTCCCAGGAGAGCTAAGGTCCCCATTGTGAAACGGGATCACGGGTAAATGACACACTATGTCATGAGCCCCTTTCTTCCGGTCTTACCTTCATGAATTCCGCCAAACACATGGAGCTTGGGTCGGACTCGCCTCTGGACTGTGTTTAAAAGCTCCACGCAGCCCACTCTTTGAAGTTCCTTTGGAACCCAGTCTCGAAAACCTAAGGGCAAAATGCAATCAATACTCTTAATTTTCTTTCTTCAGGTAAGGTTTCATTTAGACTTTCAGGAAGCCATAACTCACAGAAGGTTTATTACATTATCTGTAATCCTAGCCTCTCCATTAAAGCTCACAATGGCTTTTAAGGAACTTTTCACTCGTCACTTTGTCTTCTTTAGGTTCTTGAAAAAAATTTTTTTATTTGCACTTTTTTCCTTCCTGTTAATTAACATTTTTTTTCCTGTAACGGATTTGATTTATTCAGCCACAGGTTTCAAATCTTCTTCATGGGTCCAATGACATTTATTCCCGGCAGTCCCATAATCTCTCTTTCTCTCCCGATTTAGTGACTTTTCTTTTTTATTACACCTTTCTGATAGCAGTTTACTTCCAAGACAATTCACAGAAGACAGTTTGGGAGGGGTTGCCTGGGAACTGGCCACAAGATACCTTGCTCTCTTCAGATATATCAACTCTTAACCCTTGGAGCTCCGTGATGACCAACACTTGGAAACACCAAGTTCCTCCTCCAGTCCCCTCTCTAGCAACAAGCAGCAAGGGTGACCTCACGGTGGCATGCGAGAAGCTGAGGCTAATTGACTACCTTTATGTAAAAGCCACTTAGTTCTACACTTAATGCAGGAAATCCATAAAAACTGACATCAATTATAGCAAAAGTCAGCTATCTGAGTGATTATGGTCCGAGTGCAGGATGGGGTGTTAAAGAAGGCAGGTGGGACGAAAGGCTAAATCACCATCAGCGGGAATCCATTCCATAGCTCCATTAGGCGATTCCTACTATTTAGAAACGATGGGGCGGAAAGGGACAGGCAAGTTCATTCCACTTTGGCGAGACTGGAGAAATGAAGATTTAGCATCTCTGTAGAGACGCATCAGGCACAGTGTGGGGAATAACGGCCAGAGAATGTGGGAAGAACATCCGGTGGAAGTGGGGGTCCTATAAAAACCCAACCAGGGGTTTTAAAAGTGTGCTAATTAGAGGGGAAAAATCCTTAGTCCACAGTAATTGGCACATTCCCTCATGGAAGTGTTTTTCTTGAAGAGGGAAAATACTTCATTTCACATGCAATCACCAGAGAAAGCATCTTGCTCATTCCCTAATAGTAAAGTCCTACGGCGTGATGGCTTCCCTTCCCAGAAGGGGCAAATTCAAGGCCAATCCCACTGCCCACTCCTACCTGCCAAGCCAGCCTTTTCCCAAGAATCCTGTTAACTGTACTGGTTGAGGTTTGGCTTTACCTTATGAAAACTTTGCCTGAGCTTTCATTTTACAACTCCAGACCTTACTGTGCTCTATGCACTCTGAACACTAACTAACTACCTCTTTACTGTTTGCAAAGAGAGAGAGGGTAGCCTCCTCTATAAAAACGTCTGAGTTCTTCGGGGGCTTGAATTCAGACTTAACCATCATTACCACTTTCTTTTGTACAAATAATTTAATTACTTGATGAAGTCTGTGAACCAATCAACCTATCCAAAGTTGTATTCCAAATAACACTTCAGACATGTAAATGTTCTCTATGCCGAGGATGTCCACCCTGTCCACCCCCTTATACAACAGTACACATCCTATACACATTCTATGGAGAACCATGCCTGCCCCAGCCAGTCGGCTCAGGGAAAGCACCCACTTGGCCAGGATGCTCCATCTGGAGGACCTCACTGGGTGACTGTGCTGCAGAATATTTCATGAGCAATTTAAAGATTTAGTTAGTCTCTAATGATTGCTAAATAGGGAAGTGAATTAATTATGACTTGATAAAGATTGTGGATACAGAAAATCTTTTAAAGCATGGGATAGGCCCTGGCTGGTGTAACTCAGTGGACTGAGTGCCAGTCTGAGAAATGAAGGGTCACCAGTTCAATTCCCAGCCAGGGTACATGCCTGGGTTACAGGCCAGATCCCCAGTTGGGCGTGCAAGAGAGGCAACCAATCTATGCTTCTCTCACACATCAATGTTTTTCTCCCTCTCCTTCTCCCTTCCTTCCCCTTTCTCTAAAATAAATAAATAAATAAATAAATAAATAAATAAAACCTTTAAAAATAAAATAAATAAAACACAGGGTAGGGTGGTATGAGTTAGGGGGGAAAAAGCATGGGGATGGTGATTCCAAGGCATTGACCAGGTCAGGAAACGCTGATCTCGCGCAAATCTACAGCCTCCCCGTCTGCAGCAGACCCGGCCCCTGCTCCTGGTTTCCCCTGGCATTGCAACGTGCCAGCATGGCTCAGGCCCTGGTCCTCCCTTCCGGTGTCACTTCCCTTGCGAGGGCGGGAAAGCAGCACCAGGTGGCGTGGAGGGGAAAGTCTCTGCAAAGAGCAAACTCACACCAGGGGATGCGTGTTAGATTTTTCCTTCTTCAGGCTCAGGCAGGAGGACAGTGACGTGGATAGCAGTGCCAAGCCACAGGAGAAAATATTGCAAAGATCATTTATTTTTGTATGAAGTGTGTTCCCCCTCTCGCCAAATCAAGATGATTGAGAAAAGTTTTCTAGTACATGTAAAAATTTGTTGCGAGGGTGGATTTCATGGTCTGTGTTTTTTACCCCAACTTAAACCAAAGACAGAGAAAGAAAACTCTCCTGCTGAAAGCGCGCCATCTGAATTTCCTCAGCACGTCTGAGTGTGAAAAGGGAGGGTCCTGGCATAACAGACACCGAGTAGTTGGGGATCAATGTGCTAGTTGTGTTTGGAAAATACTCTGCGGCTAAGCTGGACCGCTCGTGAGTAACTAGAAGACTATTATATCAGTCAAATAATCATCTTTTGACCCATAATCCGGGTAACAAAAAGTAGCCTGGAACCATCTCAACCTGGATGCTGGCTCCATGTATCTATAAGATGTCCTTAAGTAACATTCAGTGTAAGTCTTTATTGAATACCCTAGCTAAAGAAATCTTTTTTTTCCCACATAATCAGCACAATTTTTAAGCTTGAGAGATCTCCCAGGTTACGCTATGATATGGGAAAAAATGGGCTCCTTTGAACGAAAGTTTCCATCATTCACTGCCATGTATCGTATACATCTGTCCTGTGATTGGGAGGGAGGTCCCTGTCTCCTTTCCACTCCCTACCCTCTTACGCCAAAGTGAATACGGTTCTGAAAATAAATTATCAAGCTCAAAAGACTGTGGTGCTCATTTGATTTTCCCTGACTTGACTAAATCAAAAAATTTAATTTCAAGAACACCTGTAAGCCCAGCAGAACTGCTGAGTTTAATTAGCATACTGGGTTTCTTTAAAGACACTGACACATTTTGTATTCGCTTTTTTATGGAAGGAAAATGATTATGCCCCTGAAGCATTTATTCATTATGCTTGGGAAAGAAGGCATCTCGTATGACAAAACGACAACCTTTGCTTCACTTACCTAGAGGAGGCCCGTGCGTCATGAGAATGTCGATGCCCTCAGGGATGAGGTTCCATTTGTCCAGCAGAGACTGACCTCTGGGCAGGTTAAAGCCCCATCCATTAAACCACGGGGTCCTTGGGGGGAGATAATACACATGCTATCAGGCCAGCAGAGCCTCCTTGCTGCCCTGCAATATCTCTCTCGCACACATTCCCCCACGGTTTGCACGCCTCTCTTTTCTCCTTTTGATGGTTGGCCCTGGCAGCGGGAGGCTTTTTTGTTGACTGCTTCAAAACCAATCCATCAGAAAGCAAGTGTGCAGCCTGCGAATTGTTCAACTAGAAAGGGGCACAAGCACCTTTGCAGTGGAGACTTTCCCAGCAGACTTCTATCAAAATTCTAACAATGCTGTGTCTTCCCCCAAATCGCACTGCTTCCTCAGCTGCCCAGCCCGGATCCGGAGCCTTTCCACCCATCCTGTAGTGGCTGAGAGCTAAGAAATTCCATCAGCACCCCTTCCTCCTCCCCATCACTGTGGAACTGCTTCCCCAGAAAGATTCTCACTGCAGTCGCTGGAGAACAGGACACGTGCTCTGCAGGCAGACACCTCTGTCCATGGAGAATACACTGCACTGAGAGTGTGGGGAAAACATGGGGGCTCTGGAAGGTGACATGGAACACAGTGAACCAAAGGCCAATGTGGACTTTTCCTCCTGTCACCAAAAGGAAGACTTCTGGGGACATCGCTGGTCACTCTGGAGTCAGCTCTCTTGACAGTGAGTGTGAGCACCCCACCCTCTCAGGAACTCCTGCTTTAGAAAGGAGGTTTGAGATCAATGCTTTGGGGTCTTTGCCCATCCAGTGAGTGTTTCTAACTGGAGCTGAAAATATCTCTGCCATTTATAGTAACAGGAGAGTGATCAATTTTTCTCTACAAATACCACAGGCTAAATTGCATCAGAAGCAAGCAGTTCAGTGCTATCCTAGTCCCTGGTATCTAGCTGTAACCATTATTTTCTGAAACTGAGTCTTTTGTTCTGTAGGAAGTTTCCAATTTGTTACGGCACGCACACATGTAAAAGGCAAGCTGGTCAGTTTTCTGGTGCAGGCCTTTCTCCTTCAACTGAAGCTGTCCCTTCCACGCCTCCAGAAAGAGGAGACCTTCTTTGTGAGTGAGGTCACCTGGCCAGTCACAGCTAATTAAACAAGGTGCATTCTCATTTAAAGGCAATCATGGTCTGAGTAATCATATTTTCTCAAGACTCTGAACTCAGAAACACTGATCCAGCGTTCACTGGATGGCGGACGTGTGTGGTCAAGGCCAGAGGGGAAAGAATGGCAACTAACAGCCAAGTGAAAATGCATGTCATTAGGTGAGAAGTTCAGTTCCCGCTGAGCTTTGAGAAAGTCCCAGAGATAAGAGATTATGTAGCCCCGGTCAGAAAGAGAGAAACCAAGTAAGTGTTTGACTTGATTCCTAACTGTTTTCCAAGTCCCTCAGCCAGCCTCAGGAAACTTGTTTGTGATAACAATAGTAATATAATAACAATATTATTAAAGCTATTATTTATTGAATGTTTATGTCAAGGCACTATTCTAAGCACTCTATTGGTAGTAACATATTTAAACCTCACAACAAGCTTATGATGTGAGTACTATTATGAACCCCATTTTACAGAGAGAAAACTGAGGCACAGAACGGTCAAGTAAACACAACCAATCAATTGAATATAAACGCACGCAGGCTGGTTGCAAAACCCATACTCTAAACCACCACCCAATTCCTCTTCTTATATTACTACTACCTGAATTAATGCAGAACTTTCTTGCCCTGGGTGAGCCCCTTCTGTACTCTTTCAAATTTGAATGTCTGGCTGCCTGACGCCAAATGAGCTCTTAACTAGAATAACATATCTACGCCGTGGGTCTGAAATCCAGCAATAAGATGGCGTAGTGGACGTCAATGGTTTTTGCCTGCTGAGTTCTTTCCTCTTTCTTGTGGTAACAGCATCCAAATTTCCTCAGCGGAACCTGTCCCTCTCCAACTCAGTACATGTGTTCTGGCAAGGCTGCCTTATCTCCGCTCTAGAATGAAGCATGGACTGTGTCTCCCTGGATGGTGATTGGCCTAGGGATGTATGTATGACCCCAATCAGGCCAATGAGAGTCACCCTCAAGATTTTGCTGCTGCTACCTAAAAAGAAGTCATGGCTTCCTCTCTGAGACCCTTATCAAATGACCACAAAGGAAGCCAAGAAGCAGAAGGCCTTGATGACCCTGTTGGGCCTCAGGGTCCAGCTGTGCCTGAAGCCAACTGCATTTTCCTTCTGGCTCCACTTTCTTTTTATCAGCTTGAGTGAGATCCTGCTGATTGCAACTGAAAGAGTCCTGAGATATACAATTATTGCTTTTAGTATACAAATGTCGTATGTACCTATGGTAGGCAATAATCTTTCCCAATCTCCAATATGTTTATGTTCTACTTCTTGGAACCTGTAAAAACGTTACCCCACTTGGCAAAGGGGAATTAAGTTTGCCTCGGGAGTTTAGGAGCTGATCATCTGATCTTAGATTAGGGAGACCATCCTGGATTACCTGGGTAGGCACTTGTAGCCACCAGCTTCCCTGAAAGTGGAGGATGGAAACAGCAGAGCAGGCTGGAGTGATGCAGTGTAAGAAAGGACTCAACCTGCTGTTGCTGGTTTTGAAGCCGAAGGAAGAGAACCAGAGCCAAGGAATGTGGGCTGCCTCCAGAAGCTGGAAAAGGGAAGGAAAGAAAAGCAATCCCCACCCAGAGCCCCCGGAAAGGAACACGACCCTGCTGACCCCTCAATCTGAGCCCAGTTCTCACTGGTCAGAATTCCGACCAGCAAGACGGGAAGGTAGTGAATAGGTGTGGTTTCGAGCCACGCAATTTGTGGTGATTTGTTGCAGCGACAGTAGAATATGAATCCGGTACCTAACAGGTCCGAGCTGGCTATACAACTTCAGAGATGAGCGGCACTGGCCTCGGTGGCTCGTAGCGGGTGTTTAATCAACACAGCCCTCCACGGCCACACGGCCTTGCTCCGTTCCACACGCATTTGGTTTCCTCTGAGGAAAAGGCAGCGCTTGCTTTCCTGCCCCAGTCTGCCTGCCACGTGGTAAGGCGGGGTGCCCGGAATCGTAGGCGTGGGGAAAATGCCAGGCTGACCCTCTCCGACGGAGCTCAATTAGTCCATCTCACTCTGCCTTGTTTTCTCGGCTTCCCTGCCTTCAGAGTGGAAAACATGATTTCATTAGAGTCTAAAACAGAGCTTTCCCCACGTGCAATGACCATCCTTCCTCTTCATTCTATTGTACAACGACCCTGTTCCATGACTGGTCTTCAGAGTAAAAAGAAAAGAAAAAGGGCAAGTTCAAAACCCAGTGAAAACTCAGCGGGCATTTTGGCAGGAGAGGGAGAAAAATAAGCAAAAACATCTGTTTGCCTAGATTTTGAAAACAGGCTCCTGGGCCTGTGGTTCCCATCTGAATGGCACATAAAGAAGGTCTGAAAGGGTCCCGAGCACAGCCAAGGCACTGGGACAATGAGGGGCTCTGATTTCGCTGCCAGCAACTGTCGGAGGGCAGTCAGCCTCTGATCCCCCTGACGGCCCAGGGGCTTCCAGCGTCAAAGAAACAGCACTTAAGTTTTCCAGTCTCCCCAGTTTCCTCTGAAAGAACGTTCTCTTAGAAACGTACAGCCCTACTCCCCCAGGAAATGCTCCGTGTTATGGCTTCACTGTGAAAGATTCAGACAAACCCCCGGTCCACAGATACCCCAGGTTTCCCTTGGTTAATGTTAAACTTGCGACAAAATCCAGAAGTTTCCAAGTTAAGGGTAAACTTGAAAAATGCCTGGCTTTCATTCGGACTCAAACCTGTATGTGCAGGAGAGCAACAGCGAGGCTAAGTTGTAGGAAAGGGAACCTTTATCAAGCCCCCAATTCGCTTTACATAGGGGTTTCTTGAAGACTATTAAATTTAATTCCTCACAACAATTCTTGAGCTATATACTATCTATCAGCTTTATTTTTAGATAAAAATGCTGAAGACCAGTAACATTAAGTAACTTGTAAGCTGAGATCTGAACCCAGATCTGCTTGCTCCAAAGCCTGTGTTTTTTCTTTGCATGATGTATAACTAAAATCTTGTAGCTCAATCCCAGTTCTGGCTCTCACTTACATAAAGCAAAAAACTCTTAGGCTGTGCACAGCCTTGGACGGTGCCATGGCGTTGCGTGATTGAGGTGGCTCTTCGTAAGAATGAAGAGCGGCCCTGACCAGGTAGCTCAGTTGGAGCATTGTCCTGGTAATAAGCCCAGGGTACAGGTTCAATCCCAGGTCAGGACAAACATAAGAAGCAACGAATCAATGCATAAATAAGTGGAACAAATCAATGTTTTTCTCTCTCTCTTAAAAAAAACAAACACAACAAACCTAAGGGTGACTCTGTCGCTATGGCTTTTCCGGGTTGCTTTTGGTTCCTCTAGATCTTCTAGATAAGGCCTTTTCTGCAAGACAGTGGCCCAGCAATGGGAAAAGCAGCCCAGTGACGGGTTCCAGAATTCTCCCAGCCTGGCATAATATTGTAAACGGGGCACACAGGAGTTGACAGAGCCCTGTGTTAATCCTCAGTCTGGCATCAATTCACTAACTCACGTAGACCTTCAGTAAGAGAAGGACCCTAGTGGACCAGTTTCCCCTTCTGAGAAATGAACGAAAGGGCGCATTTGATTACTGGGTTTCAGGATTGTTTTTAGGTTGCAGGAAGCCCATACCCAAAGCAGGTACCTGTAGGGGCGCTCTTCCTGGGAAGAAGGAGCTCTGAACACGCTAGTTCACTCCGCCCCCTACTCCTTTCTGACCTACATGTCTGAGCACAGCTGGCAAAACCTGGCCCTGATGATCTTTCTATGATCCAGAAGCCCTAACGTTCTAAAATTCTGTGCAGACTATCAATGCTCTCAGTAAACGCTGTGAATTGCTTTCAATGAATTCCCTAAATTACCTGTAAAGGACCGAGCCCATTTCGGGAGGAATAAGTATACAGAGTAGAGACAGAATGTGTCAGCATCCATGAATGATGCTTTACCCAGTGGAGTTTCAACCTG